ATCGAGAACAATTAATCAATACCATTTTCCCAAAAGACACCCATTATCAAAACTTCTTAAACCCTAGAATCATCTATGAATTTATTTTAGTTGATTCTGATTCAATAGAGTTATTCCATTCCAGAGATAAAGACAATAATATTATTTATTCCAAAGCCAAGATACTCAAAATCATGACACCTGAAGAATGGGGACAACCCATTTATCAACCTAAATCCTTCTCAAGACAGTTTCAACCTCAGACCTACACCTATTATGATTATACCATGGCATGAACTTACATGTTATATCTTAAACCCAAGACTCATTCATGGTTCTTCTGGTTTCGCAGAGGAATCTCATTAAAATTTCCAAAATGGTTTCTTCAATGGTTCTATACTTGGGGACCCATTAGAGAATTGTTTCCACAAGAGGTTTCAGAAAACTTTAACTATTTTAAAGAAGTTACAACATTCTTACCCAATTACAAGATGATTACCTTTGTTGCATCCCAAAATGTTACTTGGATTGTTACATGGGATTACATATTCAGGCAACCCTATGACAATATTCCTTTAAAAATTCTTTCAAGATGTATAAAAATTAAGTGGTGGAACAAGTTTGATATGAATCTCATCACTAAATCAAGAATCAAAGAATGGGCTCAAAACAACTCTCCAGCCTTTTTAACTCAAGAAAGCAAGAAAAGAATTTCTAGAGACACCCAGTTTCTAGCTGAAAAAAGTAAAATTATGGCCGAATTAGCTTCAGCCACCTCTCAAGAAGAGTTCGAAGCAAGACTCCAGTTAATTAGAGCAATTCAAGATGATTCTCAGCCTGAAGAAACAGGCTCTTCAGATTCAATATCAACTAGTCCTTATCTTCGCAATGAAGATATGTTTGACTAAAATCTCAAGATTTAATTATTTCAGTACAGAAAGAGACAACTGACAAGACATCAAGATAAAGCTATTCGCCAGCATCACAAAACGACACAAGACAACTCATAAACAACTCATCAAGAAAAAGACATGTTACCAGCCTCGCAAGAAGACAAAAGACTTTTAAAGATACCTTATCTTTAAAGTCTTTTTTTATGTAAATTATTGTACTTTTTATTTTTCCTGTCTCACCCCTGTAAAGAATAATGAGTCACTACCCCTAGTTGTAATTTAGCCAGTCTCAGTTTAGCTATATAAGGAGGACTTCTCCTCAGCTTGTGATCATCGAGTGTTTTAGTAATCAAATAGTATCCTTGTTCTTCGATCTCAAAACTCTTGTGATATCTGCTATCTTTCTAAAATCTTTGTAAGTCTTTCAAAATGATGATTTTACTTGAGCATGGTCATATTCATATCTCTCTTCATAATTATCCTATCTTTCATATTACTATTTCTCTATATCAATATAATCGATATATTTATACCTTTACGCTTCCCTTTATGGTATCAGAGCCTGATACTGATTATTATTGATTATAACTGTTTGTATTATTTTTGAATTTGTGTTCTAATTCTGTTATTTATTTCAAAAGTTATTGATATTTTGAATCTTCTTTGGGGGGAAGTAGAGGCTAAGGTTATACACTCTTGTTGGTGTTCCCGGTAGTAAAGCCTAGTGAGGTAGTAAACCCGTTGGTAAGCCATGGATAGAGGCCACGCCTTTACCACTATCAAAGAACCTTCAAAATTATCAAGAATTTTTGAAACAATTAGCAGTATAGGAACCAAAGACAAGAATAAACAAATAGTTATGAGAACTCCTAATACTTTAGAAGATACTCCCACTACTTCTCAAGAAAATTCCCAAATAGAAATTCAAATAGCAGAAATAGAAAACTCCCTTCATAACTGGTCAATACCTATTATAAAAAAATGTGAAGTTTATAAGCAACATAACATTTTTTCAACAAATCAAGATGGAATTCATATTTCAGAATTTTGTTATCCAGGTACTAAGACTAACAAAATTATTAATATTTTACAACAAAATATATTAGATGAACATATAAAAAAGGGTTATAATTTTATGCACTTAGGATTAATTCAAGTTGCTGCTAAGCCTAATTACAGATTAGGTGTAAACAGTCCAATATTACTTTTATTAAGAGATATTCGTATGAAAAAATTTCAAGATTCTATTATAGCAATATTAGAAAGTAATTTACATGATGGCCCTGCCTTTTTTAACTGTTATCCAAATTTTTCAATGAATATTAGAAATTCAAAAACTTGTAATGCTTTAAAATTATATGTTAAAATTCCTGATGAAATCTTAGATGAAGATTCAGGACCAATACAACTTATTTTTAGAATTTATTATAAAGTTACTAAAATAGATTATAATTATAAAGCCCTTAGATCATCTCCAAAAAATGAAATTGTTTTAGTAGAAGCGAATCTTAGAAAATCATCAATACAAGTACCAAGGCGTCTTAGTCACGCTGAGGTTATTTCTAAAATTCCAGAAGATTGGTTATTAGAAAATATAATAGATGAACCAAAAATCTACAATACTCATGTAAGAGAAATAGTTCAAGAAGGAACAGATATTAGGTTAAGAATGAATAGATCAAGATCTTGTAGGACTAATTTACCACAAATGATTTATAAAGGAAATAGTGAGAGACATTCTGTTGATGGCTCCACTATCAATATAGATTTAACCAAATTAGATATTAATTCTAAAATAACAAGACCTGTTTATGAAAATGTTCAACATGAAGAAGAAGAAGATTTTAATCCTACTGCTTCTCAAGTTCTTAATACTATTACAAAACAAGAACCGTTTCAAATTGATAAAGAATGGATTAATCAAGATTTTAAAGCAGATTATAATAAAGATTTAAGAAATTGGTATTTTAAAAATTTTACTCAAGAAGAAACTATTAAATATAGAGAATTATATTATTCTTATATGGAAGAAAATGAAATCAATATTTATTTCTTTGATTGGTTTAAAGACTATTACAAAGAAAATAATATTATTAAATCAATAAATCCTTTAGTAAAAACAAATAAAACTTGGAAAACAATAGATAATAAAATTATTATTTCAGAATATCCCCCTATGACTACTGTTAAAATAGAAGTAGAAAAACAAGAAATAGAGGCAAGTCCTTACAAAACTATTAATGAATCAGAACAAGAAATTAATAAAAAAGATATTAAAAAACTTCATAATCAATTAAATTTTTCTAATAGTATGTTAGAAACTTTGTCAAAACAATTAACAAGAATAGAAGATAAAGAAATTCCTTCCTCAAGTAGTAGTAATATAGTCTCAAGTATTCCAAAACCATTAGTAAAACCAATATATCAGTTAAATACCCATATAGATTCATTAAAATTAGGAAGTGAAAGTGAAGAAAAAATTGAAGAAATTAAAGATCTATTATCAAAATTGACCTTAGGAAAACCTTCAATAAACACCATAGACACAGATGATTTTACAGTTAATAAAATTAAAACTCATTATCCAAAAACAAGAACATATTATCCTAGACCTTCTCCAGCAGATGTTCTTTATGAAGAACGAGGAGAATATGTACAAAATAGTTATTCAGGAAGTGAAATGATTGAATGGAATATAGATGGTATGAGTGAACAAAGTTTATTAGATTATATTTGTATGATGTCAATGGCCGCCAGTGCCTAGAAGAGAAGAGGAAACTCAGATAAAGCCACAGCCTTAATTATAGTCCAAGGATTTACTGGCCAACTTAAAGGTTGGTGGGATAATTTTTGGACACCAGTAAAACTAGAAACTGGTGAAAAGGATGCAGTTGCAACCCTTATTTATACTATTATTCAACATTTTATAGGAGATCCCAATACTTTTAAAGATAGAGCAACTAGTCAATTAGCAAACCTTTATTGTCCAACAATGTCCGATTACCGTTGGTATAAGGACATATTTATGTCAAAAATTACCCTAAGAGAGGATGATTTTCAAGGATTTTGGAAAGAAAGGTTCATAGCAGGATTACCAAAACTATTTTCTGAAAAAGTCAAAATAAAACTAGAAAGTCACTTTGGAAAACCAATACCTTTTAATATCCTTACATACGATCAAATACATAATATTATTATTGATACTGGAATACAAGTTTGTAATGACTTCAAACTCCAAAATAAACTTAGAAAAGAAGCTGGAACCAATAGAAAAGAAATAGGAAATTTTTGTGAACAATACAGAGTAGAACCTATTAGAACACCCAGTGCAATCAAGAAAAAGGCCCAGAGAAAACAGTTTGTTTCTCAAAAGCCTTACCACAAGCCTTATAATAAATATAAAAAGCCTTATAAAAAATCCTTTAAGAAAAATAAAAATTAATATATATATATATATATATATATATTATACAACCTCTCCCCCCCTCCCCCTATTTTTTATAAAAAGTAAATTTTCTCACACTTTCTCTCTAATTTTTTTTTTGGTGAGTCCCACCCTATTTTCTTAACAATTTCTCTTTACCAAATTTTTAATTTTCCTACACTAACCTTCTGCTCTATGTTTACAAAGATTAAGATTAAGTCTTATTCATTAAGGGATGATTTGTATTAATAAATTATGACTAATTTGATTATTAATATTAACATAATTATTTAATAAATATTAAATCGTATGATACTTCATAATCATAAGAGTGAATAATTATTTTAATAATATTTTTATTTTTATAAAATAATGTTTGACTGTAATAAATAAAAAAATTATACATATTATATTAAATAATTACGTCAATATCAATAATTACGTCAATTATGACTTATTAACAAATGTAATCACTTAATAAAACAGATATGATCTAAAGACTGATTTATAGAATAAAAAATTAATAAAAAGTTGGAGAAATTTTGCTTAAGAAAATTAAAAACTAAATTATTAAAAAGAGGGACTAAAAACTTATTTTAAAAAATTATTATAATTTAAACAAAAAGAAAATTGTAAAACCTTCCAAGACCCTAGTAGCGTATATATTTTGGAAACTCTCATAAGCCACAACACAATCTTCTAAACCAGACAGAAACTCCTTGAAGAAGCCAGCTTCCACTTTCAAACACTGTCTCCGACATGAATACTCAAATACCGCTTCAAGTGTCACTCTTCATCCCTCTGAATCGAAACCCTTCATTTTCATTCTCAGTAAGCATCTTTCGTTTGCTAATTGCCATGTTATGCTTCCTCACTCTCCTCCATGTCTACGCCTTTTCTCACTCTACGCCGTTGCAGCCTTTTCGTTGGAACCAAACGCCATTTGGGGTTCGTAAAATCCCGCGCTTTGTGGTGAGTGCAGGCCCCAAGAAGATATTGTTCGGCAAAGAGTGCAGAGAGACCTTACAAGCCGGAATTGATAAACTCGCCGATGCTGTCTCTCTTACCGTTGGACCCAAAGGTATATTTGGTTATTCCCCTTTTAATTTACTGTCTCGTATATCACAATGGACCCAATGTATTGTGTTCAGTTTGTTGCATTGCTGAATTTCTATCATATACTATTCATCTCCATTTCTGCCTGAACAATCTCCATTTGCCACTGATTTAGTGTGTATTTGTGTGAGTGACTGCAAAATGTTGAGTGTATGTTTAGATGTTTTTTTTTTATATTTTTTTTTTAATTTTGAAAAGAACAAAACTTTTTATCCAATGCAAAAGTTTCTCCGAATTGTCTTTAGCCCCAAAATCAATTCCTCAACGTGGTACCAAACATGTGAAGTGTGTGTTTGGATTCATGCTGGATTACCGAAATTATGTTGAAATACCAGCTAACGTGATTTTTAGGGAAGTGTTAACAAGTTTGGTTTCACCATAAGAGATTAATATGCATGCAAAATCAATTGAGTTGAAGCAACTTTAGGTAACTTTTGTGTTGGATTAAAAATTGTATACCGGGTGCTAACTTGCTTTTAGAATAAAAATATCCGAACATAAATTAGGTTACTTCAAAATCAATTTTGCAAGCACTCATCCAAAACACACGGAGATTTACCTAAAATCATGTTAGCTGGTGTTTTATTGTGATTTTGGATGATCCAACATGAATCCAAACATGCATTACGTGCATGTTTTGCTTTGTTTGGATTTTTTTTTTATTATAAGCTGTTTTGTCAACAAAGTAAGCTAATCTAAAGAAACACTAACGAGTGTCACAATTGCTTTTATTTATTTTTGAGCTAGAAATTGCTTGCTTTTGAATCTCAATATTATACAGGCGTTTGGCTGATTCTGGTCTAGTGATTGTTGGCTGTTTGTGCTTATTTATTTCATTCCTAACCATGCAGGACGTAATGTTATTCTTTCTGAATCTGGAAACCTTAAAGTGATTAATGATGGTGTTACAATTGCGCGATCCATTGAGCTTTCGGATGCAATTGAGAATGCAGGTGCCATCCTAATTCAAGAGGTTGATCATGGTTGTTAGGATTTTGCCTCGGGTTCAATGGATAAAATTTGAGATTAAAGTAACTAGAGATGTATTTATGTTTTTAGTTTTCCTGCTTGTAGGTTGCAAGTAAAATGAATGAGTTGGCTGGTGATGGAACTAGCACTGCAATTATTTTGGCTCGAGCCATGATTAAATCTGGACTATTAGCAGTTGCTTTTGGGGCTAATCCTATTTCTTTGAAGAAGGGGATGGAGAAGACTGTAAAGGAGTTGGTCAAGTTCTTGAAGGAGAGAAGTGTTCCTGTTGAAGGAAGGGAGCATATTAAAGGTCATTGCTTATGCTTGTTTGGATTTTGTCAAATTAACAGGTTTTCTTCTCAAGGAAATATTGAAGATATTTCTTCCTTCTTTTTCACAGCTGTAGCATCGATTTCTGCTGGAAATGATGAGTATGTTGGTAACTTGATTGCTGAAGCTATGGCAAAGATTGGTTCAGATGGGGTTATCTCTATTGAGTCTTCCTCATCATCTGAAACCTCTGTGATAATTGAAGAAGGGATGAAGGTACAGATAATGCTGAAATTGTGGGGCTTTATGCATAGAGGAAGGTGATTAAGAGAAAAGACCCTTTAAATAATAATATACTGAGTACTGTTATAATATGTTCTTAAAACCTAAAGCACTAATTGTCATCCTAACTAATTCGGGAAACAAATCATGGAGTAATGAAATGTGGTAATCGATCCTAAGAGATAATGAGGAATAGGGAAACTAATCTTGAAGGATAGTCTATGTTAGATACTCTAAAATATGATAAGATATTTTTGTATATTCTAACATAATATTACTCGATAACCAACATCAATTCTTATTGATCTAGTCTGAAAAATCCTTGTGTTTTGCCCTATTACAGTTGTTATTTTTCTTTTTTGTACAGTTTGATAAGGGTTACATGTCTCCTCACTTCATTACAAACCAGGAGAAATCCATTGTAGAATTTGATTGGGCTAAAGTTTTAGTTACTGATCAAAAGATTTCAAATGTCAAAGAAATAGTTCCTTTGCTGGAAAAGGCTATGCAGTTGAGTGCCCCACTCTTAATTATTGCAGAGGATATCACAAGCCAAGTGTTGGAAACCTTAGTAGTGAACAAAATGCAAGGATTACTAAGAGTTGCAGTGGTAAAATGTCCAGGATTTGGAGGCGCAAAGAAAGCTTTGTTACAAGATATTGCACTTATGACTGGTGAGTTCCTACAGAATTTGATAAGTGTGGTTGATATCTTTGCCAACTTCCTCTATACTAGGGTTATGCTTCCTATTTTTGAATTCTTTTCATGAAGCCTATGCAATTTGTTTTAGTGACAAGAAACTTTTATGTCATTGCTTTTTTTTTTTCATTTATTATTATGAATTTGTTTTAGTTCAGCAGTTTGACTGCCTTGGATACCAATGTGATGCTACCTTGTCATTTAATAACTGCCTAGCTCTTGCTGCCATGATTTGCAATCCTCCTGTTGTGATGTTTCAGGACCTCAGTTGACTGTTAATAGAAATAATTATTGATCCTATTCCTATAGACTTGAAATTACATATATTCAATGGGATGATAATCAATTTTAGATTTTCTTTTTGTGCATTGCATGTGACTATTTGTATGAGGAAAATTGGATTTTTTTATTCTTAAATATACCCATTATGTCTTTTTTCTTCCCATATCTTAGGAGTCTTCTGTCTAGCCTCGTTTAAGATCAACACACCTTTTCTGCTTAACTTGTTTGACCTCATGTTGTCATTAACACCACAGGTGCTGATTTTCTTTCCGGAGACATGGGTCTTACACTTGATGGTGTAACATCAGACCAGCTTGGCACTGCAATGAAAGTGACAATAACCAGTAATGCAACAACTATCATTGCTGATCCTAGTACCAAGGCTGAAATTCAGGCTAGAATTTCACAGATAAAGAAGGATCTTAGTGAAACAGATAATGCAAACCTGTCAAGAAAACTTTCAGAGAGAATTGCAAAACTCTCTGGTGGTGTAGCTGTTATAAAGGTAACTAAATGACTAATTCAATATAAATGTCATGGGTTGTCTGTATTCTGCTGAACTTTGGCTCTTTACTTTGCTAATGTTGCTTTAGCATCTCTTACTCTGTTCAATTGTCCAAACTCTGAGATTTATATTTTATTTGGTTTTATTGGATCAAAGTGTTTATCATGTACTTCAACTTGCTTGTAATTTGAGAAATGGAATGATGGCAGTTTGTCACCTAGTTGCCTTTTGATATGTTATCTTTACAGAAGTGGGATCCTATAAAAAATTTCACTTCTATATAATTCATATTATATTTATCGTAAATAATATATTATATATTTGTTACTTATCTTGTCTGCAATAATTTTCTTTTTCTACTTTTATTTTTTTCCTGAGTCAAATCAAATTCTTACAATAATATTTATAGTATTCATTTAACCAAGAAATCAAAATGGCTCGTTGCTTGTTAAATGACTCAAATCAGAATTCTGGTCATTGTATTTTTTGCCTATCAGTTGTTATAGGGTCCTGTTTCTGAATTGTATGAGATTAGGGCTTGCAAAAAATTAAAGATCACATACAGTTCCCGCATAACATTCATAACATTTTTGTATGAGGATGAGCCTTGACACAATAGTAAGGTCGGTGCCTTGTGACTTGGAACAGGTTTAAATTCTGGAAACAGACTATTTGCGGTGGGAGACTCATGAATTGGGTTGCCCTTTTATCCATAATATTTTTGTGCGATAAAAAAATATTTGTAAAAGTATATTTTGAATTGTTTGCTTCATATTCTTAGTTATAGGGGTTAGTTCACCATTAGTATTGGAAAGTCCCATATTGCTTACCTCAATGCAGTGCAGTTTCTATACCTATGGGGCAATTTAATGTCAATTGATTTTAAGATGAAATCTAATAATTAGCTTGGAACTTATACAAGAATTCAATTCTTGTATAGGTTACGCATGAGATAAAATAGGCCACTGTTAATTACACTGGTCTTACTGACTTTTCATTTGTTTTCCATATTCACAATTCTTGATTCCAATTTGTTGTACAGAAAGAGACAGCTGTCATCTTAAATTTTGCCCACAATATGTTACATTAACATTATTTTCATTCTTAAGTGTTTATTACAAAATGCAATTGTTAAGATAATTCTATAAGATATAGTTTAGATCATGGGCAAATGAGGGTCATTCCAAGGATGGTGATCAATTAATCCCTGAATATGACATTGGATATTATAGTGGTTTTCAAAATGATAATTCTGGTTATCCAAAGAAAAAAAGTAGTGTTTTTTCTCGTTTATCTTTCATGCAGGATATTAAAAAACAAGAAAAAGGAAATCATGCAAGGAATGAAGAATATGATTTCCATACTTCAGTTAATGATGTGATGGAAAGGGTTCGGCAGAATCACATCAAGTGGATCAACAAAAGAAAGCCAAAGCCTAAGCACAACAAAGCTGAAAGTTTGAGGGATAAAACTCAAATCAGTGGCTCGAGGAAGGAGGGTGATTGCTTTGAAGATGCCTTGACCGATAAAATTGTGGATTTGAGTACTACAACTGGAGGCAATACTAATAAAACTGCTGAAGACAAATGTTTTGTGGATTTCAAGCGTCGTAGTAAAGTGAGGAAACTTGGTGATGAAAGTGAGACCAAAATCTCCAAACAGAGTGAAAAGAGTGAGAATTTGGTGCTTGTGCAACAAAAGAGAAGAAAGTTGGTCCGCCCAAATTTCAGCAAGAGTATAACATCTGATGACAAGGGCATTGACCTTGGTGCTTCTAAAAATTTCCATGTACCATCATCACTTGGAGGTTATAATGTTAAGGAAAGCTGCTGCACTAAGGTTCAAACTGAGGATATCATTAAAGCAGATGCTGAAATACGAAACATTATCAGTCCAACACATTTTGATGATAAGAATAGTAGTCAATCCAGGGAATATGCCTGCAGTGAAGGAGGAGAAAGAGCAACTGATAATGCTCTTGCTGCATTTGACGATAAATCAGAATGTCTGGATAGCATTAAAGCAGATGCTGAAGTACCAAACATTATTTGTCGAACACATTCTGAGGATAAGAATGGTCATGCCAGGGGATATTTCTGTGGCAAAGGAGGAGAAAAAGCAACTGATGGTGCTCTTACTGCATTTAATGATGAATCAAAATGTTTGGAGAACATAAACCCGATTGTTTCTTCTTGCAAAGACAAGAATTATCATCTCAATAAAGGTTTATATACGATGGATAGTATAAAATCAGTACCTCTGAACATAGAGTCATCACGTTCAATTTGTCAAGAGCATCATGTACATAATAAGATCATTCGTGCTGGCAGAGGTATTAATGCCGATGAAGAAATGCCAAAAGATTGTGGCTCCTCCTTTACCATTGAAGCTAAAGAAGGATCTGAATATCTTCAGAACTCTGGTACTGAAAAGGCTCCAATCGAAACTTGTCCTATGATCGAAAGTTCACATGTGATGGATAGTATAAAATCTGTATCTGCAGGTACAGACGCATTGCATTCAATTTGTCAAAAGCAGCACCTTACAGGCAAGATCATATTCACAGGCAGAGGAAGTAATACTAAAGAAGAAATGTCAAAAGATAGTGGCTCCTCCCTTGCTGTTGTTAAAGATGGAGTTGACTGTCTACAGAACTCTAATGATGACAATGCTTCAATTGCCACTTCTTATTTCAAGGAAGGTTTATGTATGGCTGATAATAAAAAGTCCGTATTCCCAGATTCAGAATCATTGCGTTCGATTTGTCAAGAATGTGATGTTGACAAGGCATGTGCTGGCAGCACTATTATTAAGACTGAAGGATTGTCAAAAGATGGTACACCCCCCTTTACCACTGGAGTTAAAGATGGATCTTACGGTTCACAGAAGTCTGGCAATGACAATGCTCCAGTCACTACTTGAACAAAAGAAGGCTTCAGCCTGATTCTCAAACAGATCGAAACCTCATTCCTAAGAGGTGTGGCTCCCTCTCATACGTGTTTCAATTTTGGGATGATTGCCGGTCATTGTTTTTAACTTTTTTGCAAATCATGCTTACCGATATTGCTGATCTTTTTGCAAATCATGGTTTGAACTTTTGCAAACCATAGATCTAAGTTTTTCCTGCTTTTGTAGAATTGGCTTTGTTAGCTGACAGTGCTGGGCTGGGTTAGTTTCTTTGGTTTTTTTTTGTTTTTGTTTTGTTTTTGTTTTTATTTCTTATTTTTCAGTCAACACGATGGCGCACAGTTAGGAAGTTCAGTAACATCTAAAGGATGTTCTGTGAAAGGCGGTAGACCTTATTTTGGGAAGGCTGCTTTTTTGTAGGACAAAAGTTGAAGGCAGTTCAATTGTTGAAAATATATAAATATGTTGGTAGAAAGTTCAAATGTTGAAACGATCGCAGTCTCTCGATTTTCCTTTCAAGCCCGAAGTCTTGAATACGATAAATACAACTTAAATTAAAAGGTATAATTTAAGTCTTGAATTCAATGAAACTTTTTTTTTTTTAATTTATTTTTTTGTAATTTTATAGAGAAACTAATTGAAATAAGTTTTAAAAAAGTATAAAAAGGTTATAAAATTATTTATTATTATAAATCTAAACTCTTTTGTAAGTGTAAATACTTGATATAATGAGTTAATGTTGGAATATCTTCAGAAATTGCTTTAATCATAGTCTTATAGTTATGAGTTTGGATAGTCTTATAGTTATGAGTTTGGATGAGAAATTTAAATAAATTAATTATAGTTATGAGTTTGGATGAGAAATTTAAATAAATTAATTATAATTATGAATTTGGATGAGAAATTTAAATTAATTAATTAATTTGTTTGAAGAATTTATATTTTTTAAGTTGAGATATCTTATTTGAATGAAAAATTTATAAAAAATTTGAAATTGATGTATTTGTGAAAATTTTTAAAATAAAAAATTTTAAATTCTTAAAAAAAAAGAAGTAAGAATTCAAAAATTTTCATATATTTTTTTTTGTTTCACTTATATATTTTATATAATCTTTTGTCTTTTCATGTTTTTAATTGTTAAATATTTAAATATATTTTTAAAATTATTAAATATTATCTAATATTAATTTTTAAATTATTAAATATTTATAATTTAAATATCAAGAATTTATAATTCTTAAATTTATAAAATTCTTTATTCAAACACATGATTTAAGGGTGATGTTTGTAGTCAAAGATGAGTTAAGAGTACCGAGTTTAGTGTAAACTTAAATTCTAAGAGGTTAGTTATTATAGAATAATTTTTGAATAATGTCTGTGTTGAAATGTAACAATGAGCATTTATACTTAATATGTTGACCTTTATGGCATTGGTGATAGGGATGACAAATATACCCGTACTTGCAGGTAATATCCGAACCCGTCCTGACTTTGACGGGAATACCCGGTTTGAAATCGGGTATGGGTACAGGTACGGGTAAAACTCGATATATTAAATCGGTTATGAGTACGGGTATGTACTTACCCGTCCCGACTCGTACCCGTTCTCATTTTTAATTTAATACTCACTTTTAATTTAATTATATTAAAAAATTTTAATATTTTTTATGCGTGATTATTTATTATAATATGAGATAAAAAATAACTTAATTATAATTATAATTAAATAAAAAATAATTTAAAAATATTATTTTTTTATAAAAAAAATTTGACGGGTATGAGTATGGATACGGGTATACTCGATACCCGACGGGGATGGAGATGATGATGAAAATCTATACCCGATGGGTATAGAAACGAGGACGAGAATGAGTTTAACTCGCGAAGACGGGAACAGATATCATGAAATCCGTACTCGACCCGTCCCGTTGCCATCCCCGTTGCCATCCCTCGTTGGTCATTCATCATATCATAATGCTATATTGCTGGTGAATATGAAAAGCGAGGAAGTTGATGACAAAGGAATGAAATTGAGAGCTGATATGGCAAACCCTTCACCCCTCCCCAGCCTCTCTTAATACTTTCTTGATTCGTGCCATCGGCTGCGCTTATATGCGGCCATCGCCCTTCGTAAATCAATATATAATTTATTATTTAATATTTTTTTTATAAAATATAAAAGCTCCGTAACAAATAAAATAAATTAATTTAATATGTGTTATGTTATATTGTATAATTATATTTATTGGATAGAAAACATATCAAATAATATAATTTATTTTTATTTCTTTTTGAAAACATAGTAATAATATAATATTAGCATGTATATTATATAAAAAAAATTATACAATAAGTAAGCTGAATTTTATGATATTAAAATTGATAATACAACATTATTAATGAGTTAAAAAAATTAAAATATAATTAAAAAAAGACAAAATGATTGTATGTTTTATTTATTGTAGAAAAACTTATTAAATAATAATTATATGTTCTTTCAATTTGTGTTTTTACTATATATTTTATCTAATAAATATAAATTTTATTATTTAATATGTTTTTACTATATGCATATATTTATTGTGTAAAATATATTAAATAATAGATTATACAATTAATTTAATTAAAGAGTATTATTTTTATTAAATAAATTTATTATTTATTAATTTTAAACTAGATTGACATTAAATAAGGAGTTTAAAACATAATTAACTTGAGTAATAATATTATATATAATATGTTGTTCAAATTATAATTAAAAAAATAAAGTAATCTAAATGGTGAGTTTTATAGTTAAGACCATGAGTTCTAATTGTTATAAAGTTATTTTTAATCATTTTTAAATAAATTTTATATTTTCTCATCATGTCAATATAACGTGATTGGTTTGCATTGTATCATTACTATAATATTATTTTATTAATTCATGTGAGTTGTCAATTCATCACTAAAGCAATAATTCATGTAAATTAAAATTGTATAATTTTAAAAAATGAGGAAAATAAAATTGTGCAATTAAAAACGAGACCTAAATTACTTATTAATATTTAAAAGAAACTAAAATTACAATTTAGTCTTTCTTTTTATATTACATAAGAGTAAATTAAAATAAATAAATGGAAGGACCAAGCCGTCCTCAACCATCCCCAAACGGCGCTCCGTGCCGCCGTTTTGTTCTGCTTAAATCCCGCCTCTGTATTATATTCCTTCATGTAAGGCTCCTTGTTCGAGCTTTCAACACAGACATTTTAACCTTAGTTTACATCAGCATAAAGGTTAACATATAAAATTGTTACGTTTCAACACATACATTTTTGAAAAATTATTGTATAAGTAAATTCTAAACCCTTAGAATTTAAGTTTACATTTAACTCGGCCCTGCAAAATTAATTTATAAATTCCAATTTTTATAAACTCTCAACTCATCTCTTTAGCATATGAATGTGAGACTAACCACCACCCTTTAGACTATAATTAAAGCAATTTCTAAAGATACAACTACTACAAGCTAAAAGTGACCGTAATTAATTTACAACCATTTTCGATTTTTTTTTAAACTTATTTCAATAAGTTTCTCAATAAAATTAATTTTTTTTTATTGAATTAAACCCTTAATTTAGGTTCTACTGGAAATGACGTTTCTTACAACCTTGTCAACATTACATTCTTGACAAATCAAACGCAATGATTCTGAATCTGGAGATACTGATTTTTTATTATCAGCCATACATAAACCTTCCTTGAAATAAGAAGTTGCAATTGAAGCATTGTCATCATTAAAGTTTTGTAAACAGTCAAAACCATTTTTAACTCCACCAAAGAATAAACAATCTGGTTTATGTTCTCCAAACATTTTGATTCATCATTAAATGCAGTAAGAGCACCATCAGTTGCTTTTTCTCCTCCTTTGCCACAGAAATATTCCCTGACATGACTATTCTCATCCTCAGAATGTGTTCGACAAATAATGTTTTGTACTTCAGCATCTGCTTTAATGCTATCCAGACATTCTGATTTATTGTCAAATGCAGCAAGAGTATTATCAGTTGCTCTTTCTCCTCCTTCACTGCAGGCATATTCCCTGGATTGACTACTATTCTTATCATCAAAATGTGTTTGACCGATAATGTTTCGTATTTCAGCATCTGCTTCAATGATATCCTCAGTTTGAACCGAAGTGCAGCAGCTTTCCTTAACATTATAACCTCCAAGTGATGATGATACATGGAAATTTTTAGAAGCACCAAAATAACCAATTATGTAGGTAGGTGCACATACTGAGCTAGAACTTGAAGATAGAAAACTTAGAATTCAGGATGCAAAGAATGCAACATTTGCTGCCATAAGCGAGGGAATTGTTCCTGGAGGGGGTGCCACATATGTCCACCTGTTGGACTTGATACCAACAATAAGGAACTCCATGGAAGATCTAGATGAGCAACTTGGTGCTGATATTATAGCAAAGGTGTGTTACATTTTTTTACTCTACTAGCTGTCTCTCTTATCTTCCTAAGTGAATGTTATAAGATTATTTTCATGTAAAATGTTTCTTTCCATGAAAAAGGGGACAATATTAAATTAGTAGTGTGTTGACTTATAATTTTTTTTTGAAATTCTGGAGATTTGCGAGTTTTCTTTTTCAAATTCTTGTTTGGATTGTAATTGAAAGAAAAAAGTTTTACTTAATAAAGTATACCTCATCATTTTGGGTGGGACTTTCACTTTTCTGAAAATCCTGCATGAGCCAGACAGTGCATGTTTATTAGGATTTCAACCATGGTTTCTTACATTTTGACTGTACTATCTTGAACGAGTCTTTGCTACTTCGAGGAACATACTCATGAATTGCACGAAGCATATTGGTTTGCAATGTTAGCATAAAAAGCAAATATTAACTCTTTAGCAGGGCATTGATTATATTTTATTGGTCTTGACTCTTAAAATTTTGTAGTTATAAATAAATATAATATAATGATGTTTATTTAAATATTACTACCCATATAGCCCAGTCAGGCACATTTTCACATAAAAATGTTGAATTTTATTTACTATTTTCCCTCCTGCTTAAAGTAAAGGTAACATTCCATATTAATTTGTCTGGAATGCTTTTACATATGTAAGTGGTTACGCATGAATCTTTGCAGGCACTCCTTGAACCTGCAAAATCAATTGCATCTAATGCGGGAGTTGATGGAGACGTTGTTGTTCAGAAGACTAGAACACATGATTGGAGAACAGGATATAATGCTATGACAGGCATTTACGAAGATCTTTTGAATGCCGGAGTAGCTGATCCTAGTCGAGTTGCAAGATGTGCTCTTCAAAGTGCAGTTTCTGTTGCTGGTGTGGTTCTAACTACACAAGCTATATTGGTGGATAAAATAAAGAAACCCAAGCCACCTGTTCCCATGGTCCCTGGCATAACACCCTAAGATGGAGAAAACAATTACAATTTTGAAGAGTCAAGTCTTTCACTGTGTGGATGCCATTGGTTTACTCAAAGCTTGTGAATGTCCTTGGGTTGGTTAATACTCCAGCAGCAGTAAGAATATGCAAGTTTAAACAATGGGAAAGTCAGAGATTGCTGCTTCTTACTCTCGAGTTATATGACTTGATGAAACCCATGTGTCATGAAGTCATTGGAACAATTAGACAACCGGTGAAGACGTGAAGTTCAAGTGCTTTCCACAAGGAATTCATTAGTGTTAGGTTTCTTTCAACATTTTACCGATTAGTTTTTTTGACACTATAGTTGATATCAGTTTTGTTCCATGAAACCGGTAATGTGATATTTTCAAGAGACTGTTGATAATAAAAAATCTAATTTGGGTGCTTGTAGTGTGCCTGTGTCATGTGGGATATGCTTATACCGTTAACTCTAGTCTCTTGATAATCTATATGCTTCAAAATATGGAAACAAGTGTTACCTTCAGTTCTCTCGGAGGCCTAATGATTAGACAAATGTAATAATCAAACCTAAGTGGTTAATTTACGGAAGGAAAATACGTAATATACACCATATAAGTTTGAATTTTAGCTTTGTCATACTAGTGTTTTTTTCTTCTTAAGTTTTATTGTGGATGATTTAATAAGTCTTGAGGCATTAGTCATTGTTCCTTTTAATTTTATTGGACGAGTAGGTACAACTGCAAATGGATTAGATGTTGAAGGCTTACGTGCTATGTGGACTCGCGGTTTTGTTGTTTAGTTACTAATATGTTATACTGGAATGTCAACTATCAAATCAAGTTTCAAACTCAGTCATAAAATGTACCACGGAATAAAAACTTTTTCAAGTTTTTGCTTTTTTGTTACGTGTCTTGTGGTTTTTGTTTGTAGAAGTTGACGGGTCTCTTTCTTGTCCTTGTGGTGGATGCTTTTAAAATAAAGTAGAAAATGATTCTGTCCCTTGACTAAAATCCAGTTGATTTAAATGCATACCAATTATCTTTAATGACTTTTACTACACAATTAAAGTAAAATTACAATTACGTGAAATTAATTGCTTTCATGAACTGACACGTGTTTTTACTTCTCTCCAACATTTTTCTTGTTGTGACTGGTCATATATTTTTATTTATTGGGACACTGTCTTTTCTTTGTCTTAACCAAAACTAAAACGCTTCTCATCAGACTCATTCATCTTAGAAGAGTAGTGTTCTATATATGACAAACGCATGCTGTTTCAACTTTCAACAACTGCTGTTAACTGCCCTTCCCCTTTAAGCAGGTTGTTAGTTAGCCATGATGGTGAATATTTTAATGTTGTCTCTTCCGTGCTTATGATTGATCAACTGCTACCCATATATTATATATAAAAGAAAGAAAGATTACAACAGCCGTAACAACAATCTGATTTAAATACTTATTATCTATCTATAACTAGACACACAGTAAGTAGTAAGCATTTAATATCGAGTAAGCATAAAAAAAGAGTATATCTAGTAATTAGTCCAGTAAAAAACAGTTAAGGATGTACTGTACTAAAAAATTAAGAAATGTGAACAGAGAGACACAACAATATTTCGTTCTCTGCTAGTTAATATAATTTATGCCCATTTGTTATACTTAAAACATAAATAGACTGACTTGTTTAATTTATTTATCTGCTGATATCTTCTTAAATTAAAATTTTCTCATATTGTTGTTGTTATTTGAAATTCACTTTTATTAACATCTGATTAGAATCAAATTAATTTAATAAAATATGATATTATTTGCTTTAATCTAAAAGTATGAAGGAATTAATAAATAGAGTAAAATATGAAAAAGGTCCCTCATTTTATTAAGGTTTGTGCTTTTAGTAGCTAAAAAAAATTGATTGATACTATTTTATTTATTAAACTTCGTCGGTCAATTAATTGATTGAAAAAGGTGGTAAAATTAGACACTATTTAATCCATTTCTGAAGTGAATAAAATAACACAAGAAGAGGAGTTGAATTGTGTTTTCAAAAAAAAAAATAGCTCCCTTTGCACATATATAAGTATATATTAATTAGTTCATAAAATATTTGTTCATAATGTATTTGTTTTGTGTTCAAAACGAAAATTTAATAACTTTGATAAAATTAGTTGTTAGCTCAAAATAGATTTTTTTTTTGGATCTTTTGAACTAATATGAGTGTATGTTATTTATGTGTTGTTCAATATATTATTTTATAAATGTTTGTTTTATTAAAAATGAGTTTTAGCTTTTAATAAAGTAAAACAATAACATAAAGGGAAGAAAAGGGAGAGTTACAACATATTTTATATTGGTTTATCTCAAATTTAAAGCTGCATTCAATTCTCACAATACTAATGAGATATTCCACTAAAATCACATTCCAAAAATCACAATTGGATACAACAATCTTTCTAATTGTTCAAAGCACAAAGTTCACAACTCTTACAAGATTCCCAAATCGCATTGTACCCATAGTGCACTTATAATAAGTAGCACAAATCTTGGCTAGGATTTAAATTGGCAAATTTTGGTTATCTATGAAGGTTTTCACAAATTACAATTTCTCTCTCTAAGAGGGTTTCCATTAATATAAACAATCTCATACTTCTATATGTTATACAAGAAAACTCAAGTATACAAGTGAAGAAATGAGCCTTTCTTTTATAGAGAGAGATGAAACAAAAAGTGAGTTTCCTCAATTGAGGGTGTCTATTATGAGTTGTCCCTTTATTTTATTGTTTTAATGCCTTTTGATGTTCTGTAAAGTCTCACATAAATAATATTAGAAATTATTAGGAAGGAGGCTTTTGTTGCAATTATTTTAAAAAGGACATGCTAACTTGTCCAAATGTGGTAAGCTAAAACTTTGTTCGAAAGAATCATTATGAAATTTCATTCTGATGTTTCAATCTAATGTCCCATTTTGATGAGACAAATGAGAATCCTATTATGATCAAAATTACTTTAGATGAAGTCTTGATAGTATTGACTTGACCCTTCATAAATCTTTATCTTGGCGAAAACTTTATTATAACGGAAGTCATTTTGCTAAGGTCTAAATTGTTGTATGTATGTTCATCGGTTTATCCTTGAAACATAAATCATTCTAATGCTTCATTCTAAAGTTTCTTCAATGGCATACTATCACTAATCATCTTTTATATTTGTTAATCATTATTCTTCTGATGGATCCTTAAAGAATGTAATTCATATGAAAGATATGATGTTTCATCATTTTGATGCACAAACTTTGAATATAACATAATTTTGATGTGCTTATTTCAGAAGCATTTGTTTACTTAAAATCAGATAGTCCTTTAGCACACCATTTTGATATTAACTTTGGAGCAACTTCATTTTGATGCTGCAAACTCTATATAACCTTTGATGTAGCTTCTAAGTAAGAATTTTTTTGATGTCTTTGCGATAAGTTAAGAGTGAATCTTTAGAGAGAAACTTTGACTTCTTCATTCAGATGAGCTTCATTAAATTCTTTTGATATTCTTTACTTGATGCACCTTGAATACATCTATTTTGAACTTTTGTTTTGATTTGATTATTACCAATTTCCCCTAAAACACTTAGCTAAAATGTCAATGTAGATGACTTTTCATCAATCTTATAAGTTGCATAACTAAATATTTATCATAATTAAAACAACTTGGGGTCTAGATTTAACACCTTTTGATGTCAGTTTTAACCTATATAAGCCTTTTTCTTTAATTCACACACACATATATGTTCTATTTACATTTTTTTTTTCAAAAGCACTTATAGAAAAATAAAATAAAAAGGTAAAATGAATTGATTTTTTTTCTTCAAGTTAAAATCAACCTATACTTTTTTTTTCAAGAAGGTAGTTGAGAGATTTTAACCTACCTTTGCTTATATAGAAAATATCAAAAGCCATAACTAGAAAAATGACATAATAGGCAATAATATCAATTTAAGAACTTAGGATTTGGTTGGATAACTTTTTTTTTTTATAAATACTTTTAGGAGAAAAAAAAGTCTTTTCGTAAGATAAAATTAACTTATATGTAAATTTAATGTTTTTTTCATAAAGAAATTACTTTTGAGAAGCTTGTATGTATAAAATAACTATTTTGAGCTTTTTTTATATGTGGAGAAAAAAGATAAATATATAAATCTATTTGATCTCACTTATCCAAGTGAAGTGGGTCAAACTAGTGAAGAGAAACTCATTATTTTTAGTGAGAACAACAACCATTAAAGAGAAAATAGAAGAAGCAAAGTCATCCCCCATATTCATTAGGTAACTAACATGTATTGCAAGCAAATATTTTTTCAATGTTTATTGAGTTGGGTTGATTTTTGGGCAAGTTTCTAGAAACTGGATTCTTGGTTTTTAACCGTTGAATCCATGAAATAAGGTATAAAATGAGAGAAAAATTGTTTATAGCAACAACTTTATTTTGGATGTTTTTCATTTTATTATCTCATTTGTTAATATTAGTGCTTGAGTTGCTTTGATTAACTGAAACTTGAAAATACTATTTGACACACTTATTGAAAACTTGTGTCCTTATTGATCCTAGTTGAACTATTTATTTGATTAAGACAACTCTTGATTTTTATTCTAACATTGAAAGATTTCTATATAAAAAATCTCTATGTCCATTATGCATTTTGTATTTTGTATTTTTACTTTATTTTTGTTGGTGCTTTCATTTTTATATTCTGGCAAATTGGTAAAATTTTATTTTTCTACTTATTCCTTTATTATTGAGTTGTTATTATATCGACTTTTTCTTGTCAAAATTAGTTTATTTGTAAACTAATTTTATTTTAATTTATTTTAATTAATTAATTTTTTATTTTTTATTCTTATCTTTTATAAGTATTTATGAAAAAAGTTTATCCTATCTGCTATAAGGCACTAAACAATTAAATCATCAATTAGTCTTAACAATAGGACATTAGAAAAAAATGAAAATTACACGGACTATTAGCATGTTTAATGTTTAGTCTTAGTAAGGAAAATTGATTTCAATTTTGGTTAATACAATACAACATATTATTATTGAAAAAATCAATTTAACGTGGTGACTATATATACAAGGTAAGATTCGAACCACCTTATTTAAATGTGAGTCAATAATTACTGCCAAACCAGGTCCCCTAATGTTAGAGAAACTACTAAGAATATATTTGAATATGCGTTTTTTTAAAGTAGGTTTTCACTTTACAAAGAAAAATTGAGAAGCTACAAGGTTATTACTTTTTAAGTTGAACGGGCTCATGAGGAAAATCGCATTTTAGGTCACACTTAAATACAATACTTGAAGTACATGCCCCCATTGCACATAGAGAAAAAATAACTTGAGATTAAGAAATGAAATGATATTGGCTTGATGTGCAAGCC